GGGGGCCGGGGGAGCGGCCGATGCCCAGCAGAAAGCCGCCGCCTTCCTCCGCACCTGGCCCGGGCAGACGCGGGGCTGCGGGAGCGGAGCGGACACAGCGCCCGGGCGCCGGCGGACACACGCCACGCGGGACGAGCCCCAGCCAGGGGGCAAACGGCCTTCCGCGGACACGGGCCAGCCCGTGCACTGCGGGCAGCGACACCGCACCTCGGGGACCCCGCTGGGGGCCCTCGTGCCGCTGCTGCCGAGCCCCCAGGCACTGCGGCTTCTCCCGCTGCTTGCCGAAGAGGCCGCCGAGGAGCTGGCCCAGGGACAAGCGCGCCGGGGCAGTGCGGTGGGTGTCGGGACAGCGGGGGCAGGCGGAGGGACTCATTGCAAACGCACCCTTTCCACCCAGAGCCGCCCCGTGAACCCGCACCAGCGGCCCGGCTCCCCCGGCAGCTCGCGGCCTCCGCGCGGTGCGCTCCGTTGTACGGAACCGGGAGAGCGGGAGGCGGAGGGGGGCGGGGACGACGTTTGAGTTTGAAGACGTGGAAAGCGCTGGGAAGTCTGGAGCCCCCCAGACTCCAGTTGTTTGCACTGCAGGAACTTGCAGCGAGGCCAAAGCCCCAGGCCCCAGCCCCGTCCCTGGGCAAGCCTGACCGGGGGGGTCGCCGCAGCTTCCCTTGCCCGGCCCCTCGCCTGAACCTAGACCCTGCGGGAACTTGCCGCGCGCGGCACGGAGGTGACGCCGGCCCGGCGGGACCAGAGGGATGAGGAGGTCGCGGGGGGAGACGATGGCTCGGGCAGGTTCCCTTCTGTGGCGCTCTCCGGAGCTGAGCTTTCCCGGCCCCGAAATCCCGAGGGGGCGGGTAAAGGGGCGGCAATGCCGAGGGGAGAAGCGGCTGTGCAGAGCGGCCCGCCGCGGCCCGCACTTACCGTCGGAGACGGAGACAGCCGCCAGGATCAAAGTCACCAGCGCCAGAGCCTTCACGTCCATGCTGGGCAGGCGGCGGGCGGCGCGGGCAGAGGCTGGAGCTGGAGCTGGAGCTTGGGACAGCTGCGGCCGAGCTGTGCGGAGCCGCCTCCTCCTCCTCCCTCTATAGCGGGGCCGCGGCCGGGTGCCGGGCGGGGCGGGGTTAGGGGGAGTAGCCGGCCGTGAGTTATTGGCCTCGGCAGGCTGTTATATCCCTCCTCTAATGGTAGTGTTGGACTTCAACCAAAGAGCGAGGCTGCTGCTCCGCAGCCGGCACGGACCAAGGCAAAACTCGGCTCTGGGGCACGGAGACTATCCGGTGCCAGGCCCGCGCCACCGGCTGGCGCCCGTCTCGGCCCCGGGGTTAAGCCCTGGGCCCCGGCGGGGCGGCCGGATCCTTCCCCGCGGGGGCGGGTGAGGGGCTGCGGCCGCACTAGAAGGGAAGGGGGAGGGGGGCGCTGGCACCTCTTCCCGGGCGGGTGCCCGGCATCACCTGCCAGGTGAGCCTGTGACCCAGACAGGACCACGGGGTCCTAGAAGGGCGGGAGGCGACATGTGCAGATCGCCTAGTCCAGCCCCCTGGGGAAGCACGTCGGCTGCTCTTGGGGTGGGGGGAGACCTTCCCCCCCCATACACACATTGATCCTGAGCCCCCTCCGCACTGGAGGGGATGAGGCTGAAGTTGGTTATTTACTCCCAGTTCCTTCTGCCCAGTTCTTTATTCCTGGTTCGTTTTTTCAAAGTTAATATATACCCAGTAAAAGCTTGTTATTAATGAATTACACATCCTAAAGAGAGAGAA